CACGGTGAAAAATGAGGACGGAGAGAAAAAGGAAGGCAGGAAGATGAAGAGACGAGGTACAGCTGTTACTTTAGAAGGAGGAGAAGAAGAAGAAGAATCCTTGTTTCCACATTGAGTGATTTGTCCATGAACATCTTACGACGGCCGACTAAATTTCAAACATGTTTGATTTTCTCCTGTCCTTACGTTTCCTGATCAGGAGATGTTCGTGAGCGGCTGATCGCCCATTAGATCTATAAAACTCTAATGGGACTCCGGTCTGCTTTATCACAAGCAGTAAATAATCATATATTTAAGACCTGTCCCAATGTGTAAAAGAATTAAAAACAAAATGAAAAAATATATTTGGTTGAAAAAGTTGTGTAACTATACAGAAACTAAAAGCTAAATTTATTTGAATCTTTTCTTTTAAAGGTTTCAGCAAGATTTTGTTTTCTTAAAGAGTTATGATGGAAAATAAAATCAAAAGGAAGTCTAATGCTTCAGCAGAATGTAATATTCAAGAGCGGATTAAACGTTTAAAACTTTGAAATGCAGAAATCGAATAAAGACTCAAGATTTTCAGTTATAATGAAACCAAGGAGAAACTAAAAGAATTAAATGGTAAAAAAAAAAGTTTATTGGCAAAAATATCAGATCTCTTACCTTCACAGGGAAATATTTTGCTCTGTGCTGCTCAGAAAAGATGGCCGCCTTCTGTTTAGCTCAGCGTCGTGTCGGCGTTTTAATCTGACTGTTTTAGTTTGTATTTTCCAAAGAGGATGTTTTCTACTTTGCCCCAGCGTCTCACTTCCTGTCTGATGCTTGATAGTTGTAGGTGCGTCCCTAAGCAACCTCTTGGCGGTCTGCTCCGCCCCTTTCTCTTCGGCCTGTTCTGGTTCCCATGGTTACCTATGACCCATCAGGCCTGCAGTACTTGTCTGTGTTTCTACAATCCTCCCTGGATGCGTTGGGATGTTTTCCTGTAGTGTTGTCAGCTGGACCCGACAGCAGCACCAGAACCATGACAGTGGCTCCCATACGCCTCATGCTTTGTTTACAAAGTGGCTCTTTCTATCTCATACCCCTGGCTCTGACCCATCTGGCTCTGTCTGTCTGTCCTACAGTCGGAACCAGCTGTCCGTCCTCCCAGCTGTCGTCTGTAGCCTCCCCCTAAAGGTTCTGATCGCCTCCAATAACAAACTTGTGTCTCTGCCAGAAGAATTGGGCCAGCTGAGACACCTCACTGAGCTGGTGAGTCTCTTTACCAGCTGATTCGACCCGTTATTTATCAGAACCCTCCATTGGTTCCTGATCACTTTTCTGTTCCGGCAGGATGTGAGCTGTAACGAAATCCGGACGTTACCATCCCAAATAGGTCAGCTGGAGGCTCTGAGAGACCTGAACATCAGGAGGAACCACCTGGTCCGACTTCCTTCAGGTAAAGCCCTCAGGCTTTGGTTCTGCTCCTGACAGAAGCGGGTTTTTAGGTCCAGATAAGAACTGTGACTGTTTTCAGAGCTGGCAGAGCTTCCTCTGGTGCGCCTCGACTTCTCCTGCAACAAAGTGACCTCCATCCCTGTCTGTTACCGCGGCCTCTCTCACCTGCAGGCCATCGTCCTGGACAACAATCCACTGCAGAGCCCACCTGCACAGGTACTCAGGAAGTGACATCACAGCTGCAGCTTGGCGTCCCCAAATCTAACTTTAATGCTCTGCTGTCCTGCCTGCAGATATGTATCAAAGGGAAGGTCCACATCTTTAAGTATCTGAACCTGGAAGCCAGCAAGAGCACGCCGGAGCTGCCCGAGTACGACAGACGACCTCTGACCTCCTGGTCTGACCCCACACACACACAAACCAACGCTCACATTTCCACCCTTCAGAGTAAAGGCTCAGAGTGACTGACTGCAGCTTTGTCTCACTAGTGTTGATGAGGCGTATCAAGGGCGGCCGTATGGAGCGCTCGACTCTGGCTTCAATAGCGTCGACAGCGGAGACAAGCGGTGGCTGGGCAATGAGGTGAGCGGCATGCTGACCTCTGGGTTCTTCCTCCAGCAGGGAGCCTAGCTCCTGGTTCACTTCAGTTACTGATTGTCTGCAAAAACTTGTTTAGAAATAACTTAAAATTCATGAAAACAAAGTGTGTTTCAGCATAATTTAAACAGGCGAATAAGACTATTTATGGAACTTAAAAAAAATTAGATGTTTCGCTATCATCTTATTCTATCGTCTAATTTTCCTTATCTGCTCTAATTAAAGGGAAATGCACTTATTTCAATACAATAATTAGTTTTTTAAGGTTTCGTGTTCAATTCTTTTTCTGAAATGATAGAAACGTTACTAAGATATCAGATGAAATCAGCCACAGGCTTGGGTCTGGATCCATGCTCCTCCCTCCTACAAGAACCTTTCTTGCTCTGTTTCAGGTTTCAGAGGAGCTGTCGGAGCAGGCGGTCAGAGATCACAGACGCTCTGGACCAGGAGGAGCTGTGCTGCCCAACGGGACACGTAAGACTCAAACTTCTGACCGCCGTTCTCCCGGTGTTCCGCTGTCGTTCTCATGTTCTCTGTCCACAGCAGATGGGGAGATGGAGCAGATCGACTTCATAGACAGCTATGTGGAGGAGGAGGAGGATGGGAAGGCTCGAGGTGACAGAAGCAGCCTCAGCTCTCAGTTCATGGCCTACATCGAGAGACGCATCACCAGAGAGGTGAGCCCCCCCCACTGCTGCTGGACGCTTTTATTCAAGTTTAAATTGATGTCATGTTGGTTCAGACAGACGCTGCTGATGCCCAGAGATTTAAAAAAGCTGCATCGTGTTTTTGAAAGGCTGACTCCCTGTCTGTATCTCCAGGGTTCTCCAGTGAAGAACAGCTTGGCCCGGGCCGATGACATGAGGCGACACAGCAGGTTAGATAAACCACCCAATCAAACCCGCTCCCACCTACGTCTCCTCACTTTGTGTCTCACTTCCTGTCTCACTTCCTGTCTGTTTCCGTGTCTCTCCCAGAAACATGGCCGACAGCGCCTCGCCGTCTCCCACCTCCCACAGTCAGGTAAGACGCTCGAGCGTCCGGCAAAAATCCTCTAAAACAAAACTGCCTCTTCAGGTCTAACACACACACCTGTGTGCTTTTAGAGAGGAGCCTCTGGTTCTGCTTCTGGAGGCGTTGAGAGGATAAGGAGGGAAGCTCAGCTCGCCGCTCTGAGGTACGACGAAGAGAGGCAGAGGAATCGTTCTCTCCAGAGAGATGGTGCCACCAACTATGCCAAGGTAAACAGTTGAACCAGTTGAGCGTGGAGAATCTGGTCTGAACCATTTTAATCTGAGGTTGCATCTCTCTTCTTGTTTTCCCGCAGAAATCAACCCAGAGTCCATCAAAGTCCGGTCCAGAGGCTGAGGTGAGTACGTCCTCGCCATTCTGAACAACACATGAACACACCCTCTGTTTCCTTCACCCTCCTCTTCTTTCGTTTGATCCGACGCCGCAGAACAGTAGTCCCGCCCCTGTGTTTAGGCCACACCCCTTTATGTTTCTGTTGATGTTTGTGTGTCTGCTGTTCGTTGTCAGAACGTCTACCCCTCCAGACGCTCCACCCACACAGATGACTCCGCCCTCATCATGGTAAGATCGAGATGCCATGCCCCTAAAATGAAGCTTGCATCTCATTACCGGTTTCCAAAATAAAAGCATGTGAAGGAAGCACTGTGATCAGAGCATGTGAGAGCACCGTTCCCTCTGTGCAGCATGAGGTCAACTGAAGCTGGCCTGATGGCTTCAGAGGTGGAAGGAGACTTTTTCCTTCCACTTAGTCTTCCTGTTTTCATCAGTTTTCTTCTGAATCCGGTCGGTTTTTCCGTGCATGTTGGACCAAAAGACGGCGGCAGCTTGCGGTTTGGTTCTTTCAGATCCCGATTCTGCATGAAGCTTTAGGGACGGCTGCGTGTAAACCAGCTGGTATCTCTTCTCTACGGGTTCCGTCTCTCAGCTGTTTGTCCAGATCCTTAAATCTGTTGGTTCTGTGTCTCACAGCAGAGGGAGATGAGTGAAAATGGTGTGTTTTAGAGAATCTAAACACAGACTTTCACTTCCATTTAGTTGGAATGTAAAACTGTACTGTTGTTTCCCAGCAGGGGGAGGACAGAGCCACCCTGTCTCCTACAGGTAAGACCACCAACAAAGCCTGACATCCACTCTCCGCTCACTTTGACACCTTTTTACTCTGAGCCTTTTCTCTTCTCTCAGCCAATCAGTCACCATCATATCAAAACTTGGGGGGCGGAGCCTCCAGTCAGACAGGCAGCGTTCGTCCTGAGAGCTTCCTGTATCGCCTTGGACAAAGAGACGAGAAAAGAAGAGGTGTGTGTTTTCCTGCTTTATTCTACCTCTTAGCTCTGGAGGATGTGACCTTTCCCTCTCCGTCCTGCAGGGGACCCAGCTGTTGCTCCTTCTCAGACCAAGCAGGAGGTTCCTGCGGCTCCTCCTTTGGTGGGAGAAGATGCGGAGCTGGTGGAGCAGCTCAGGAAGGTACGTAGCTTTTTTTGTTCCACCTTTGTAGGAGCTGCTCTGCGCCTGCTTCCTTCACCTTCTTCGTCTTCCTACCCAGAACATTGAGTCCCGACTGAAGGTGGCGCTGCCCAGCGACCTGGGAGCCGCTCTGACGGACGGCGTGGTGCTGTGCCACCTTGCCAATCACGTGAGGCCGCGCTCCGTCCCCAGCATCCACGTCCCTTCCCCCGCTGTGGTGAGTGCCTCTGACCGGTCTTAAGCTATCGAGTGAGCTGACCCCTCGCTGACCTTTGTCTCTGCACCCCTGCAGCCTAAACTCACCATGGCCAAGTGTCGCCGCAATGTTGAGAACTTCCTGGAGGCGTGTCGCAGGATCGGAGTCCCGCAGGTAAACAACACACCTGAGAGACGGAGCAGGGGTTTGAAAGGCTGAATCCAGATGAGCTGACAGACTGAAAGCTTCGCCAGATCAGAACTAGAAAGAAATGATTTCTGAGACGTTTCCTCGTGCCTGATGGAGCTGGTAGAGAAGTAACCACCATCAGAATGATCAGAGCTGCTAAAATAGGAAAACAGGCTGCTGGCTAACTTTAAACACCAATAAGACTTTAAATCTTTAAAAGCAAAATCATATTTTAACAAGTTTTCTTTGTGCTTCCTGCAGTGTGATGGGGAATGTGTCTGAACTGATTCTCAGATTAATCATAGAGCATCTTAAATAGATTCAACATAGTTTGATCATTGTAGCAACAAAGCGACAGGAAATAAAATCAAGTAGATTTAAACAGCCTCAGCTTTAAGTAAAGATCAAGTAAATGACACAAAGAAAAAATAATCAAATCTTTGATTAAAATAGATTTGATTTATTAACAATGTTGAATAAATTAGTCATTTTCTGTGAATATTGATTCACTTTTATTACCTATCTGTAGAGAAATAATTCTTTTTCTGTCAAATTAATTTATTAAACTTTGTCTAAACTAAATACTTTAAACAAAATATCTCAATAATATTCTACATTTTCTGGATAAATTTGATGTGATTTTTATAAGTAAATAATTTTTTTTCTGTTCAGACGTCTGGATTCAGTCTGAAACCACCTGATGATGAAGCTTCTTCTTCTTCTCCTCCTTCTAAAGTAACAGCTGTACCTCGTCTCTTCATCTTCCTGCCTTCCTTTTTCTCTCCGTCCTCATTTTTCACCGTGTCCATCACTTCCACACACACTCAGGACCGTCTCTGCTCGGTGGAGGAGGTTCTGGAAGGGAAGGGGGGTGGGCTTTATGGGACACTACAGGCACTGCTCTCATTGGCCCCGCCCACTCTAAGCCCCTCCCTTCAGGTTCAGATGGCCGGCTTCGCCCTCTTTTACCTGTCCATCATGTCGGCCCTCTGTGCCATCTACGTTCACCTGGCGCCGCACGCCTAGATCTGACTGGACCAGAACCGCAGTAACGAAGCCCAGTTGTTTGCACGTAGGAACAGAAGTTTTCTAGTTAAACCGTCTGAGAAGGGTCAGCCGTGCTGTTGCCTCTGTAACCTCGCTGCTCCATCGTTAGGAGCAGCTGCTGGTTTTTACCTAAATGATCCTGTTAGCCCTCAGGAGAAGGTAGAACTTGTTGGCCCGTCTGTTTCCACATCCTGCCAGTTGAAGCTCCGCCCCCTCTGTGCCTTATGTCCACCTGCCTGTCTGATTGTTTTCTACTGTTCTTACTGTGTGTGAAGTGGATCAGAACCTTTCGTCCTCTCTTACAGTCAGACTGTACTAAATGCGTGAACGTTGCTAGAATCAGAACTCTGCTGCTTGAGTTGGACACCAAGTCTTTGCTAATGTCCTCTTTGCTGCTCACCGTTGGTTCTGCTAAGAGCCTGCTTCCATTACCGAGCAGTGAATAAAAACCCAGAACACTCCGGTGATCAGAACTTTTTGTTCTAGTAATGAGTTTCCCGGTCCATTCCACTGGAACTGTTACTCTCACAGACTTCTTCCTGATGATCATGTTGTGTTGCTGCTGTAAAGTCAGAAGTTGAGATTAAAGGTCAGCGGAACCATCAGTGGCTGATGTCGGCACCATTGCTCACACTTCAGCTGAACCCAACACCAAAGAGCTCCGGTTCCTCTAATATCCAGATTTAGTTTCAGGGAACCGAGCAGTGCTCTCTTTAACCCTGATCTTTAAAAAACCTGAACACATCCCTTTTTATATGGTGAAAGACGATGATGATGATGATGATGAAGAATGGTGATGTTTGAATGAGGCTCTGCACCTCAGCTTGGTCCTGCTTTTGGACGAGTTATTTTTTCTCCAAGTTTCTCTAAATAAAGTTGAAAAACAAATGAATCCTGTTTGTTTGTTACTTGAACATTTCACCTCCTCAGAGTGTCTTGAAAGTGTTGCCTGAGCGACCAGAAATATTTCTGAACATCCAAACCTTCCTTCTTTTAAGCTACAGAAACATGTACTCCATCAACCAGCTGACTGGCAGTGCTCAGAAGCAGGTGTGGGTTTATGGATCACACAGAAGGGGTGTCCTTCATTGATTGCAATATCCAGAGACCAGTAAGCTGCTCATGCTTGTGTTCAGATGAAACTACAACTCCCATCAGCCCCTGGAACTGCATTATTGGCAGAAGCCTGTATTTTTCATCTCTAACTGCTTCCCCTTCCTGCATTACTTTTTTTAAACCTTTTGTTTTACCCCTCCTCGCTTCTTATCCTTGTGTTGTCATGGTTACAGTTATTTTGCTCTTTTGTTTGATTTGCCATCGTTTGACCCATCTTTCTGTTGACCCCCGCCCCTCGCTGTGTCTTCTTCTGTGGTGTTTTTCTGTGCAGAGTAAGTTGTGTCTTCCTCTTCACATTCTGGAGGAACGAGGGCTCCCTCAGGTGGCCGGGACAGTCAGTGCACTGCTGGACCTGGCTCCGCCCCGACAGTCCGTCTCCTCGACGACAACGCCGCCCGGAACCTCCGTCATGATTTAGCCCCCCCACCCCGCTGCAGCTGCACGCGCTCAGTCAGCCTCCTGTAACGGCAGCCGCCATATTCCACTGAGCAGAAAAAAACACAGCGCTGTCAAACGTACACGAGTCACCTGGACAGGCTCAGCCTCGGAAGCTGTGGGACGTATGGAAGCCCATCAGAACCAGGAGTTGTAGTTAGAAACCTGAACGCTGTTTGGTTGAACTGAGTGAGTCGGTGTGAAGAGCAGGTTTTACTGCTAGAACTGGAGGAGAAACACATCAAACAGGAAATTCTTTGAACTCTGAAAAGTTTAACTTAGTTGGAACAAATCCAACTCAGGCAGAGAGTTTTTTACCTTTTTGTTCTTGTGGAACATCTGATCTTTTTGTTTTTTTGTGGAAATATATTTTATTAAGTGAGAGAAAATTTTATTTTAAAAATTTTCTCTCAATCCTTTGAATTAATCTAAACCACAAACAAATTAAACTTAAAAAATAAGTTTTAAAAACCACTCATTGTTGTGTGAAAGTTACATTTTACACTAATTTACCATGGTTTTGTTTTAGCTTATGTTACACAGGTAAGCTTTCTGCAGAAATGGGCTTCCATACAGTTTCCATACAGACTTCCAGCAGGTGAGTGTTTTAGTCTGGATGTTGTGAGGCGTTCCTACTGATCCCAGTACACAGGAGTCAAACGGGCTGTGTTACTGGTGCAGGACTAATGACAGGACGGGATCTGATGGAGACATAAACAGAGCTGAGCGCACACTGTCACTGAAGCAGTTTATTTGTCCTTAGAATGAGTCATTCGACAAATCTCTAAAGAGAAAATCTAGGTTTAAACACAGAAAGCTTATCGATAAGTCCACACATCATGAATACATATGCATTTTTTCTCTTTGAGACTAAAGATTTCAGCTTTTTTTAGGTCAGTTTCAGGGATTATTTATTTTGCCTGGGTCAAAACAGGCCAAAAATCTCACCTGTTTAAATTACATTCCAATATTTTTCTTATTTAAACAGAATTTCTGTTAAACTTCACTTTAGAGGTAAAGTTTACCGCAGTCATGTACAGGTAAACATGACAAGTAAAATTTTCTCCCAAACTCCAAATTTGTCCACAAGTTTTTGTGGAATATGTCGTCAGACTTAAGAAACCGAACCTCAAAATCTAAAACTTTGAATAAAGTTAAAGACTTTCCCCCCCCCCCCACATATTATGTTTTGTAATTGTTTAACCTACTTCTGTTTCCTGTTGCGTTCCTGGAAAATGTCCATATGGATTCAGACCTGACTCCCTTACCTGGAGTCAGGTTTCTTTTTCATTCGTCTCGTTGCATCCTCAAATATATCGACCAGCTTCATTTACTCGATGTTTTCACTTCAAACTTTCAAAAGATATTAACTGTCACTGCTTCAGTTTTAGTGCATTGGTATAAGTTAACTTGTACTGATTAATTAATTAAAGAAATAAGAGAAATATACTTAATTTTTCCATAGCAAGGAAATCAGGTATAATAAGCAGGGAAGTGAAAGGCAAACGGAAGCATTTGGATACTAATGAAGGTAAAAACTGTACAGTAAGGGCAGATGTATAACACAAAAAGCACTCCGGTTTAATAATTATGTAACTTATTAAAAAACGATTTACACTTCTACATTTATATGAGTGTAAATAAGTAGCTACAGTAAGTAGCTAGAGTATATACAGTAAATAAAAACTGTTTTTTTGGCAGCGACACCGGTTATGATGTCTAATAGCTATTGGGAGTAAGGATCTGTGATAAAGTTCTTTTGTGCACCCTGGATGCAAACATGTAAACTGGTTAAATTAAAACTTTTATAATCTTGAACAATGCTAAACTGTGACACAGTTTTTTAAAGAAAATATTTAAAATAGACCCTAATTCTAATAATCTTGACTGCAGCTGCAAAGAAAAAGTAAGTTTAAATATTATTAACTTTGTTTTCAGCTAGCATACATTTATAGCATTAGCTACCATTACCAGAGATTTTTGAAGTTATGGATGTTAGGTGGTTTAAAACCAAAATATAGTAACCCAAAAACTTTGACTGAACATGCCAAAGCGGTCAGTGATAGTTCGGGGAGGGCGTCCAGCATAAAAACTTTGCCATGTCGGCCAGTCACACCAACTCGCCATGGCGAATCCCAGCTAAGGCAGCAGTCGATAGGAGGAAAACAAACTAGATGTAGATGGAATTGGGAACCAAGCTGCTCCAAATTATACAAACGAGCGTTACACCTGTCAGGGATAGTTAAATGCTAGCGTTATGTCAAAGAAAAAAAAGAAAAAGAAAGTGATAATAAACAGAAACTTGACTCAAACTATCATCCAGTCTTTGTTTGATACTAACAAGCTTCATGTAGCAAGTGGAAACGAGTATATCACTCAGTATATTACACTACGCCAGCAAAGTAGATTTCTACACCTTGCCTGTTGAGGAAATGTCAGCAAACATAACTAGCTGTGGATAAATACCCAGAGCACCGAGCTGAGTGTGATGCATCGTTTAATGGTGGAGCAGGAAATTGCTCCATGTCTGACGTCTCCATCAGATCCAAACACCTTTACCAACACCTGTGGTCTGTATTCTTGGGGCCAAAGGAGCGATTTATATCATGGTATATGCTTGTTTCATTCAGCTGGTTCGGTTTCCTGTTGTCCTGATGGGTTTAGTGGACGGACTTGCCTCACTTGAGGCTGACGATTACAAGAGCAGTGTCAGGCAACCTCTGTTGCATGCTGGGACTTTTTCATGTAAATATATATAAATATACATATACATGTGTAGATATATTGTGTATTTGAAGCTGAAACCTGTCTGTTGCCATGACGACACTGCCGGTTGTAGGTCACTGTGGGTTTGCTGTAGCAGTTGGTCCTGCTCTGAGCACACTACGTTTATTTATGGAGCTCATTTAACACAGGAACACAATGACAGGAAGCAGCTTAATTTAAACATGTTTACTGAGGCCACATGCTGCGTTTAGGCACGGTGGGACATCACTAAACACTAATCTAAAAAAACACTTTCAATTTGCTCATGTTTTGAACCCTGTAGCTCCCTGAGTTTTGGCTCTGTTTAAGAAACACATGGATCACAGTGCTTTTGCTGATTGACCTGCTGCTTCACACACATCATCTTCATTCAAGGTGTGAGAAGAAGAGTGTCCTGGTGCCTCCTGTGTGGTTGTGAACGCGTCAGAGCACTGAACCTCAAGTTTGAAAGTTAACTGATGAAAATATTGATCTGATCTGCAGTCACATCTTCTGTCAGGTGAAGCTTGAAGCTGATGTTGCCTCTGCCTTTAACGTAGAAAGTGGAACATTAGGTTAGTAAAAACACCTGCCAGACTGAACTCAGGGCTTTTTACAGAAGCTCAGTTCTTCAGGGGACAAGTGGGCCTGTGTGACAGGTGACTGGGTGTTAAAGAGACTTTGGAGTCAAGGTTTCTGTCCTGCAGCAGTGACGGGTCATGTGACAGTCTCACTGTTTTTAAAGGACATTCCACTTTTTCTAAAGGACAAACGTGTTTTTACTTTTTTCTGTACAAAAGATGGAACTGACTGTTTGAAGAGTAAACATAAAATAAATACTTTAATGTGAGTTTTCTCTTCTTTTGTGTTTGTTATTTTAATTGTTAGAATAAAGTGTGTACTTTCATTTTATTTGTCAATGCTTAAAACATTTCAGCACAGAACAATCTGCTCACAGCTAACTGAAAAGGGTTAATGCTCAAAGCAAAATAACTTATTACCAATTACTCCAAGTTCTTTTTAAAGTTCACTGCTTCTAAGTTTTGGATTTCAGAATAAACCAGGGCTTATTCTAATGATATGAGCAGGCAAAAATGTCTTTAATAGCCACCATAATGTTGGCAGTATTATGCCGTGGGACCATTTTCCTTCTCATATTTTGTATTATTACACAGAGAAAATATGGACCATCAAAATCAGCAGCTAAATAGTTGAAACTTTGACACAGGATGACGCCCCAACAGGGAGAGGATCCCAAACACAGATCCAAACTGGTTTCTGAATTGATGCAGGGCCATTTTAAGCTGTTCGGACAAGGCAAGAAAAGAAATCTATTTTTCAAAATGAACCTTACCAACTCTTCCAGAAAGATTGGCAAAATGTGTGTAAAGAAAATAGCTAGAGAAAAACATGGTTGAAATGCAATCTGCTTAGAGAAATTCTACTAAATATATGTGAGGGTTTAAGGTATCTAGATGACTGCCTGTAGAGATGCTTGATAAAGGAACAAAGCTTTTGTTAATATGTCAATAAGTTTGACAGTAACTTAGTTAATACAGCGCACTGTGTACAAGGTGGAGGAATTTGTTTGGCACCAGTCATACATGACATAATTGAGTATGCTTTGCTAGAAAATGATACAATTCAAACTATTATTTAAAAAAATCCCAAAATGTATTATATAAATAACGTAACTTATACACATAAAAGCATAAATTCTAATGTAACAAAGATCAAAAGATGCCCTTATGGCATCATACTTTTTTTTTTTTTCATTTTCAAAAGTGAGACAAAACAAATGTGCTTTGTCTGCTGCTTTATATCAAATGGAGTCATGTTTGACCTTTCCAATATGGCGCCTTTTTAAACTTTACAGCCATTTGTAGTCCCTTTCTCATATGGCTTTCAATGTTTGTTACTTTTTTGTTTTTTAGTACTGACCACTGATTTTTTTATTCACTGGATTGCTGATAGGCCGTTGGTAGTACACGGTGCTGTGAAGTCGCCAGCCGCCATATTGGTACTCCATAGTTAGACCGGTCGGAATGTAAACAATATGTGCGCTACAGCATCGAACAACGAAGATGTTCTCATTTTCAGGAGGGGCTTAAGACTTAAAACAAAGGTAGAATCATCACTTTGACACGCACGACAAACTACCGTAATGTATGGTAAAAAATAGGCACATCACATTGGATATTTATTATGAAGTCTATAAATATCTTACAAACAAATCCAACACAACAAAATTAGTGTGCTAATGGAGCATAATAATACTGTAGTCGGTTAGAATATTACACGAACACACACAATGTCTGATGATGTGGCAAAAGTACTAAATTATATACATGTTATACACGTGTATTGATTACATTGTTGATTACAAGTATGGAGTACCAAGATGTCGGCCGGTGACTTCAGGTTTTCGGTGTATCAGCAATACGGAGATCAGTAGTACTGACTGTTAACTTTCTGCTCAAGCGTGTGAAAGCTTGTAAGTTTTTTTCTTTTTGAGGATTATAAAAAAAGCCATTTGTGGTTTGGAAATACTGTTATTAATACTTTAATTTTGGAATGATTAATTTGTGTTAAATGTCATTAGTTGGAGTAGCAGTTGATTTTAATTATATTTTCATTTTATGTTTTTAATTATGTGTTTTTGGTGTTTATTTTTGCTTAGTTTTTGTGGGTTTTTTTGAACAGGCAAGTCTTTGGGCAACTCCCTACACACTGATTACCCAGCAGGCCCCGCGACCTGTCTTTTCCTCCATCTTTGTGGACTGTTCGCAGGTAAGCTTCGAACTGTCCGATTAAAGATGAAAATTACCGCCACACACTCACAGCTTCGTTCAATACTTGCATATCCAGTGTGTTTGGATATTCATCTGTAATTCGGGTAGTTTGTCTCGCTGGTTAAGTTTCGGATGGAGAAGATAGAAGTCAGATTGTGGCGCTAACAGTAACTAGCGGAGAGGATTCCGACTTAACCCGTTTCCCACGGCGGAACAGACTACAAGAGGCTAGCGGATGGGTTTCCAGTCCTCTGGTTGGATATAAGTTCACTGTTTGGGCCATAAAGGTCATACCCTCATATCAAACTTTGCTGGAAAGCATTAAATCTAGGACCGATGTTTGGCTTACCCACGTTTCTGCTTAACCTGTGGGTTCCGGTTCTAATGAAAGTATCCAAACTGATCCCTGTGCGTTTCCGGTTCTTTTTAACTGAATTATGTCTGGTTATTTAAATATAGCACGGAAGCTTAATACAACCGTATTTCTATATTGTCTGTCATGCTGTGGAATATCAGTAGTTCCTCTGGGATTCTGCAGTGTTTTCATTAATAGCTTCTGAGGTGCAATGCTCTGTTTCTATCTAATGTGCTCTATATCTAATAGTTCTATCTGTTTTAGGTGATTGCACCTGAAGAGAACAAAAATGCCTGGAAGGTACGTTCAGCCCTTTATCTGTTCAATGAATGAATTTCTGTACAGAAACGGAATTTCTCTGGGTTTTGGTTCAAACTAAATCATTTTTCAGGGTTGTTGAATATCTAGAATAGATAGTCAGAACACTGGCTTCTGGTTCTGCACCCATTTCCTGTTTTATCGTCAGATTCTTGGACCAGTGTTTGACCTCTGACCCCTCTCTTTCAGACTGTGGAGTAAGGCCATCTTCACCGGCTATAAGCGCGGTCTAAGGAACCAGCGTGAGCACACAGCGCTACTGAAGCTAGAGGGCTGCTACAGCCGCGATGAGGTGGACTTCTACCTGGGCAAACGATGCGCTTACGTCTACAAGGCCAAGAAGTGAGTCCTGTGGTTCGCTACTAAATTCTGCCGCTTCAGGCTGAGACTAACTCTGTGTGTTTGCAGGAACACAGTGACGCCTGGCGGTAAACCCAACAGAACCAGAGTGATCTGGGGGAAGGTGACCAGGGCCCACGGAAACAGCGGGATGGTCAGAGCCAAGTTCAGCAGCAACCTGCCCGCTAAGGCCATTGGACACAGAGTCCGGGTGGTGAGTTCTTCTGCTCCTTCTTTCAATCCTGCAGCATCTTTAGTACTAAGCATCTTTACAACAAAAGGGAGGTTCTGTTTACGTCCAAAACACACCAGGCACGTTTTCTAGGGTCATTATGGCTACGTTCACACAGCAGCGTGAAGGGTGTTTTTGGTTTTTTTTGCCCATGTGCAACCTTTGTAATCTTTTCATGACAATCCAAACAACTTGGATTCGATTTCTCCAATGCGGCTGGGGCCACTTGGCTATGTGGTCCTGAATCCCATAAGAATCTAATGCGACCTGTGTCTCAACAGCCAGGTCGCATTAATCCGACCTGTATGCCATCAATTCTGACAAAATTCACTATTCTGTGTCTTGCTATGCAGATGCGGCAGGAAAAACGGCAATCATGGCGAACAATGACGCAGAGTAGTGTTTAGATTCAACCCTATTAAAAAGATTTGAGTTTTAGAGGTTGGGAAAGATTGCAGGCCCATTAAGGCCTGCAATGTGAATGTAGCCTATGGGTGTTTTGACTGAGTATCTTTGCCCAACAAAATGTAAACAGAGACTTATCTGGAATCAGTTATGAGACTCTAAGAGTTTTTATTTTTAATAAAACGTAATATTATTACAAGCCATCAATCTAATAGTGGGGTACTCAAGAGTTTGTATATGTTGGTTACATTCAGACATAAAATATATCTACTGTATTACATCCGATGACTGGAAAACATTTATGATTCAAAGGTAGAAAAACTGAATATTTTTGTTTCTGATTTGAACAGTTGATCTGATTGCGTTGGTGAATCTAAGCAGCTTTATGATCCTCATCATCCAGGTGTAGTGGATCTGGTGGACAGCTTGGTGAAGCTGTGGTGTCACAGCGCTCTCTGCTGTTTTTTATGCTTCCTCCAATGTTATGAAATATAAAGCAGGGGGTGTTATTAACCCTGATCCATATTTGACCTGAATTTGGCTCAGACAGCAGACTCCTCCTCAGACGGGGACTCTGTTGTTCAGGAAGACATCCTGGTTCTCACAGACAAGTGACCCGTTAACTGGAAGCTTTTATTGTGGAGGCATAGTTGATTTCTATGGTCAAACTATTAAAACAGAGTCATTACGTCACTATGTATGTTGACTGTTTGGCCCATCACTCTGGGGTCCGTTTTACTGATTGCTGATGGTGAGTTCAGATTGAATCAAGGTGTCCCTCTGAGTTCTGCTCTTCTAACAGTCCATGAAGGTGAAGTGGGTCTGAAAGTGTTTAACATCCAGGCTGGACTCAGAGTCACAAAAAAGGAGACTTACTGTGTTTTAAATGTTTATCAATTGAATTTGGGTTAATGTTCACGCTCCAGAGATGAAGCATGACTTTACAAAGCTTTAAAACCTTTAAACTTGATGTTTTTGGTTCCGGGTGCAGCAATCCAGCCTTCCTCTATGGCATTAATATTAATATTTGATTTGTTGCCAAAATTAAGGATGTCCCGATCCGACCTTATTTGATATCGGCCCGAGATGAGCCCCAATACGATTATCTGATTTTATTGGTCACCATCTAAAATCTCAGATATTTTCATGCTGATAAAAACTTTCTGTTTGCAGTTTCTGTCACTCCTTTGTAATTTTTACATGGAATTGTATCTGGACCCCTGGCCAGGCTGATGATAAAATTAAACTAAATGATACAAAACAACCTTCATTTTTATGATCGCCACTGACTGTAGAGTCGGGAAGTTTACTGAGGGTTAGGTCTCTTATTATGTAAGAATTGTGGTGTCTTTGTTCTGACTGTGTCTTCCTCTCTCTGCAGATGCTGTATCCATCCCGGGTGTGAAGAGCGACCATGTTTGTACAGAAATAATAAAAACTGATCAATAAATGGGTCGGCACAAAACACTTGTTTGTTTTTTTACCTCTGCATTGGATCTGCTGAACCGGGTGGTTCATCACAATAATTTAATTTGTTATTGAGCAGTGAAATGCTCTGCATGTTAATTCTGTAAGGAGTTTCAGATTAAGATTAGTTCCCTTTAATTAAATGGTAAAAATTTCAAATTTTAAGGCAGTCTGGTTCCCTCTTTGTGATGCTTGTTATAGGGAAGTTTAAAAGCAAATCTTAAAATAAGGCATTTCTGATGGAACTGTAGAGTTCTTTGATATTAAAGATGTTTGTATTAAGCTTGGAACAAGGTGGATCTGTCCCTGGTGGTTTCACCTGCTACAGGGGGAAACCATCTTATCTTATTAGAAAACCTGCATTTTTGTTAGGAGAGAATTAAGTTTGGAATTGTCTTTAAAATCCTGCCTTTAGTTCCATCTTTTCTTGTAAACATGAGGACTAAACCTTCAGAGAACAGAATATATATATATATATGTCTTCAAGTACATTAAAAGTGGACATCAAACGGCAAAATATGTTTTAAATAAATGTGATATTTTCTCTGCTCTATGTTCAAAGGTCTCAGACGTCCCATGATCAGTGATCCACAGACAGTGTAGTAATTATGGGGATGATTTCTGAAACCTGATAGAAATGTTGGCCTTAGATTAGCCAAGTGAGGCTAGCAGCGCTAAATGTTACTTGTATTGGAGTTGAATTTAAATAGCAGAAAAAATATTTAGGAAAAGGAGATATTCACCTTAAGTGTGTCAGTTCCAATGAATAAGAGAAATTAAACTTGCAATGATTATTTAACCACATTTGCACCAACAATGTGTTGTATGGTAAAATTCTAAATGGGCTTTACTTATAAGGATCTTTATTTTGCTTCTGGTTTCTATGAATTTCATTGCCCATTAATAAACACTGCCTTATATTCCTAAATAGGGAAATAATATCTTATCCCCTTTGGGCCTCATGTCTACATAAATTAAACTACCAAAATGAACATAATACAAATTCTTACAGTCTATTCAGTGGGACTGTCAGCTCTGTCTTCCTGACTTCTGCACAACACAACTGATGATTCCCAAATCCATTTATAAGGCAAGAAATCCTACTGATTAAAGCTGAGAGGACACCTGTGAAATGAAAACCATTTCAGGTGACAACCTCTTGAAGAGAAGGCCATGTGTGCGAAGCAGTAATCAAAGGAAAAGGTGGCTACTTTGAAGAACCTAGAATATAAGACAGATTTTCAGTCGTTTTATTAAGTATATAATTCCACGTGTTAATTCATAGTTTTTATGCCTTCTGTGTTAATCTTCAATTTTCATAGTCATGAAATAAAGAAAACTCTTTGAATGAGAAGGTATGTCTTAACTTTTGGTCTGTACTGTAGATGAAAATATAATATATTTCCCCAAAGTGTTTCACTGCTTTTACATATAAATAGGGTTTAATACATCTTTCTCTAAACTCTGGGATCCAATTTGACATAATCTTTCACCATTTTGAAGGCATCCTTTATAATGATCACTGTGCGTGTTCATGGTGGGCAATTTCACCAGGGTAGCAGGGGGGGAGAAATCAAAAACAGGACAAAAGTTTATTTTAATAGTATCAGAATCAGACATACTTCAATAATCCCAGAGGAAAATTTCTCGTTACACGCTTCAGATATACAAACATTTGTATATATATATATATATATATATATATATATATATATATATATATATATATATATATATATATATATATATATATATATATATATATATATATATATATATATATATATATATACACACAATCCACACAAAATAATCTAAATATATACATATATAACTATATATATACATGTATGAATATATATATATAACTATAAATCCAAATAAAGTGATAGCAACGTGCAAAAACAGTACAAAGAACGAACAAATGATTCCTGAGGAGTCTTCTGCTGAAGCAGCTCATCTGCTGGACCAGTGTGTCGTGGAAAGGATGTGAGACATTATCTAAGATGGACTGAAGCCTGGACAGCATCCTCCTCTCTGCCACGGTGGTCAGAGTGTCCAGCTGCTCCCCCACAACATCACCTGCCCTCCTGATCAGTTTGTTCAGTCTGTTGTTTTCAGCGACCCTCAGCCCACTGCCCCAGCATGTGACAGCAAAGAAGAGCGTGCTAGCAACAACAGACTCATGAAACATCCTCAGCATCGCCCCACAGATGTTAAAGGCCTTTAGGAAAAAGAGTCGGCATTGGCCCTTCTTTGTAGACCGCCTCTGTGTTTCTAGTCCAGTAAAACTTATTGTTAAAGTACACTCCCAGCTACTTATACTCCTCCACAGTGTCAACAGGAACCCCCTGGATGGAAACAGGGGTCACAGGTGTTTTTGTCCTCCTCAGATCCACTATTAGCTCCTTAGCCTTTGTCACGTTGAGCTGTAGATGGTTCAGTTCACTCCAAGTGACAATATGCCCACCGCAGTCCTGTATGCACTCTCATCACTCTTTTCAATGCAGCCAACAATTGCTGAGTCATCAGAAAACTTCTGAAGGTGGGAGGACTGAGAGCAATAGTTGAAGTCTGAGGTGAAAAGGGTTAAAAGGAAGGGGGAGAGGACAGTTCCTCAGGGGATAGAGTAGGGTCAATCTATACTGATCACACGCTACCAACAGGAAAATTAACAAAGCACACATCTATATTTTCTAAATAAATGAGAGTGACCAGATGTTATGGAGGTTTTTGTTAATAACGTTTTGCAAATATTTATACATTGGTGGTGTTTAAATCATTCTATGGTTCCTTCTCAAAATATTAGCATATTGTGATAAAGTTCATTATTTTCCATAATGTAATGATAAAACGTGAACATCCATATATTTTAGATTCATTGCACACTAACTGAAATATTTCAGGTGTTTTATTGTCTTAATACAAATGATTTTGGCATAAAGCTCATGAAAACCCAAAAATTCCCATCTCACAGAATTAGCATATCATGAAAAAAAGTCTCTGACCGAGTAATGCCCCTAATCATCTGAATCAAGAAATTACCTCTAAACACCTGCAAATGATTCCTGAGGCCTTTAAAACTCCCACCCTGGTTCATCACTCAAAACTCCAATCATGGGTAAGACTGCCGACCTGACTGCTGTCCAGAAGGCTATCACTGACAACCTCAAGCAAAGAGGATATGACACAGAAAGATATTTCTGAACCAATAGGCTGCTGCTGTATCAAAGCACCTCAGTGGGAATGAAAAAGTGTGGCAGAAAACGCTGCACAACGAGAACCAGAAACAGTGGCAGAGGAGCCTGACCTGGGCTACAGAGAAGCAGCACTGGACTGTTGCTCAGTTTTGCATGTCATTTGAAAATCAAGGTGCCGAAGTCTGGAGGAAGACTGGGGAGAAGGAAATGCCAGAAGTCCAGTTTCAAGTACCGAGAGTCAGTGATGGTCTGGGGTGCCATGTCAGCTGCTGGTGTTGGTCCACTGTGTTTTATCAAGGGCAGGGTCAATGCAGCTATCAGGAGATTTTGGTGGACTTTATGCTTCCATCTGCTGAAAAGCTTTATAGAGATGAAGATTTCATTTTTAGCACGACCTGGTACCTGCTCAAAATGCCAAAACCACTGCTAAATGGTTTACTGACCATGGTATCACTGTGCTCAATTGGCCTGCCAAGACCCAAAAATCTGGATGAGCTAAAGGCTAAACGCTATCAAAGCATCCTGGGCCTCCATTACACCTCAGCAGTGCCACAGGCTGATTGCCTCCATGCCGCGCCGCATTGAAGCACTCAGGGATTTCCCACCAAGTTTTGACTGCATAACTGTACATAATTATTTGACTGTTGACTTTTTTTTTGTATTAAGAACACTTTTCTTTTATTGGTCGGATAAAATATGCTAATTTTGTGAGATAGGAATTTTGGGTTTTCATTAGATGTATGCCAAAATAATCCATATTAAGACAATAAAAGACCTGAAATATTTCAGTTAGTGTGCAATGAATCTAAAATATATGGATGTTCAAGTTTTATCATTACATTATGGAAAATAATGAACTTTATTACAATATGCTAATATTGTGAGAAGGACCTGTATAATACAGTATACAGGTAAAACAGTTTTTCTTTATCATCACAGAGAAGACTTTTAGATGACTGAAAAAACAAACTCTCCCCTATATAACACTAGAACTGTTTTTTCCTTTAGCTCCGCCTCCTGGGGGATTCATCCAAGGGGAAAAACAGTCACACTTTCTGGGCATCATACACCATTAATATAGTACTATCTTTCGGTACAGAGGCCAGCACCATTTCCTTAAGGGTACCAGCCACCATTGGCCCCTGTCTAGAACCGCCCATGTGTGTTAGTTTTTAAATCACACAAAAAAAAAAAAAAAATGTGAATATTCAAATTCCTGGTCAGTGCCCATGATCTATATTTTAGAGTGAAGCAACCAGCCGCCATATTGGTACTTCCTAGTTAGACCAGTAGCACTGTAAACAAAATGTGCGCAACAGCATTGAACAACGATGATGTTGGCATTTTCAGGGGGCTTTTAAAATAAAGATTAATCATCACTTGGACACATACTTGCTGTTTCATAGCATAGTTAGATTACCGTAACTTATAATGAAAAAAAGGGACATCACATTGCAATCATTATGAAGTATATGAAAACTATAAACCATGTAATATGACACATCATACAAATCCATCACAGCAAAATGAATGTGTTAATGGAGCATAATAATATAGATGTGCCAAAAGTGCTAAATTGATGATGTACATGTAATATACATGTACTGATGACATTGTTGTGGTAATTACATATAATTACATATTACCATTGCCATTGCCGTAAGCTGTAAGACATTGAGTTCAATTTCTGAGGTTGTTGGTTCAAAACCTACATTAGGCTTTGGGGAGTGGCGGCCTAGTGGTTAGAGTATAGAACACTGATTTCTATTCACTGGATTGGTGATTGCCCGTTGGTAGTACAGGGTTTAAGTGAAGCCGCCAGCCGCCATGTTGGTACTCCCTAGTTAGACCGGTCGCACTGTAAACAATACGTGCGCTAGAGCATCGGTCAAAGATGATGTGCTCATTTTAAGGGGGACTTAAAGCTACAGTGTGTAATTTTTAACGACATCTAACGTCCAGACTGCAGACCGCAGCAACATGAACATCTCCCCCCCA